CTGTCACTTGGAACATCTAGAACCCATCGCCAAGCAGCGTGGAAAGTCGGTCAGTCGTATGCGTAACTAGATGCAGCCACTTCCCCACGCGGGAGAGCCTAGACGGAATGGCCAAAACAAGACGGTCTCCGATTATCTGAGTTATCGGGTCGACTTTGTCACTCACCGGCTGAGACCCACTGCTTTGCCCGCCCACCTTTGATATCTACAGAAACAGATCTGGAATAGCAGCAAAGACTTCCAGATATTCCTCATTGTTTAGCGATACTAGGACGACCTGCGTTCGGATATAGGATTTCCAGAGCGTATAGAGAACCAAAAGGCCCGAAGAAGCATATTGCGCAAAGGCGGGCTACCCGTATTCGGCAGGTTGGTGGGGTCGTACTCATGAACTATTCAGAAGGTAGACAAATCATGTTTCAGGCCTCGGTCTTGACGAGGCCGTGAGATTTTGGATACTACAGAGAATCGCAATGTTATTGAACAATGCCCGTATACGCGGGCGCCAATGACTTTTTCCTAACTATCTAGCGGCGCGATGGGTGTCATTCGCTATCTGGGGGTGCATGTTCGGAGCAGCAGCATCCGCCTGGGTAGTAAGTCAAGCCAAGCAGTGTCTCCACCTCGGTTGGCAACCGAGGCGGCTCGCATGAAGGACGGTCTTGTCCCATGAAAAGAGGCAACGCGTGCCGACGTGCACGTTGCGACAATTATTTACGATCGTGCCTCTCCTTCGACCGTTTTCAACGGCTCGACTATGAGTTTTTAGCTGCAGACCCTGAAGGATGGAGTCGCCAGACAGAATCGAGCCCGACACACCGTCAGCTCAACCGCCCAGTCGGATAGAGACCGACCAAAACTTACCCACACCTGCAGCGCCGTCTGACGACCGAGACTCCACCAATGCATCTCACCACGATGACCATGGCATTTCACTGCGCGAAGTCGGCCCTGTATCTGTGCAACTTGAACATCTTACAATTTCAGTCGACGAGTCGCCAAATGCTGTTACACACCTCTTCTCCAAAAAGAAACCACTGGGCGACCAAAGCCATGTCAAGACTATCCTGGACGATATCTCGGCAGACATGCCGTCTGGCAGCCTTACTGCCATTATAGGAGGGAGTGGCAGCGGAAAGACATCACTGTTGAATTCTATGAGTGGGCGGTTAGCCATGGGAAGCAGACTGGCGACTTCGGGCCGTACGCTGTTCAATGGCAGTGAAGATGTGTCGCAGATCAAAAGCGCATATGTTATTCAGCAAGACATACTCCTTCCAACTCTGACGGTCCGAGAAACACTCATGTATGCCGCGCAGTTGCGCCTGCCATCGTCTGTTACCCAAGCCGAACGGAAGCGGCTCGTCGAGGAGGTCATCCTCGAGCTGAGCTTGAAAGAAGCAGCTGATACGAGGATCGGCAACCATGCACACAAGGGCTGCTCAGGCGGAGAGAAGAGAAGGACGAGCATTGGTGTGCAACTCCTGTCGAATCCCTCGTTGTTGTGGCTAGACGAGCCTACTACTGGATTGGATTCAACGAGCGCTTTCCAGGTCATCAAAACCCTGCAGACGCTAGCAAGAAAAGGGAGGACTATAATCGTTACTATTCACCAGCCACGTTCCGAGATATGGGACCTGTTCGACAACGTCATTCTTTTATCGAGAGGAAAACCTGCATATGCTGGTAGTGCAAAGGAATGCCTACCGTACTTTGCAAAGCTGGGCCATGAAATGCCACCATTCACTAATCCAGCAGAGTATCTGATTGATGTGGTCAGTATTGACAACCGCAGCGCAGAAGCTGAACTTGCGGCCCAGGAACGGGTCGGTCGTGTGATAGAGGCATGGAGAGTACATTGTAATAGTAACTCTAATGAGAAGGACGGAGCTGGCGCATTGAGTGCGTCTGTCACAAAATCCTCGATGAAGGACAAACGGGACAATCGCACATCACTCATCCAACAAACTCGTGTACTTACCGCAAGGACGTGGACTGTGACCATTCGTGACCCCATGGGTGAGTAGCATCCCAAATAACAAGTACATCAGAACATCACTGACAAGAATGTCTTCAGGTATGTTTGGCAGTTTAGTTGAAGCCATTGGCATGGCCATAATCACAGGCTGGATTTTCCTGCAGCTCGACGGCTCCTTGACGGGTATACGATCTCGTCAAGGAGCGCTCTACAACGCAGCTGCGCTTCAAGGATATCTCATTCTGCTCTACGAGACATATCGACTTACTACCGACATCCAGCTATTCGACGAAGAAGCTCGACAAGGCGTTGTCAGCATCCCAGCATTTCTCATCTCCAGAAGATTGGCCAGGATCTTTATCGAGGACATTCCCGTCCCTCTCATCTTCTCCCTAATCTACTACTTTTTTTGCGGATTCCGCACCGACGGAGGCCAGTTCCTTACCTTTTTTGGTATAATATTGCTACACCAGTACATCGCCGTATGTTTCGCCATGACTTGCGTTGCGGTCTCGAGGAACTTTGCTGGTGCAAGTCTGGTCGCCAATCTAGCATACACTCTGCAGTCCATGGCATGTGGTTACTTCATCCAGTCAAATACCATCCCCATCTACGTACGCTGGACCAAATGGATTGCGTACGTCTTTTACGCTTTTGGGGCTCTATGCGCCAATGAGTTTAGCGGCCATTTCTACGATTGTCCACTCGAGGGCGGACGATCGAATCCTGATTGCAAAGAGTACGACGGCGATTTCATCATGGATTCGCTTGGCTTTCCAAACAATTGGGTCTGGAGGCCCATACTTGCGCTTCTTGGTTTCGCAATTGCCTTTTACGTTGGTGCGGGTTTGTTGCTTAAGTTCTGGAACGCTGAAATTGCTATGGCGCGCGCAAGACCGACCAACACGGACGCTTCTGCTGGCAAAGAGAAGATGAATGCACGACCGCCCGAGAATGTAAGGACTATTGATATCAGATTAGAAAACTACGGACTGGACGTCGAGAAGCGTTCTCTGCGGAAAAAATCCACAAAGACTATTCTAAACCCAATCACAGCAGACTTCCGGCCCGGTTCGCTCAACGTGATCATGGGACCATCAGGCTCCGGAAAGACGTCGCTGCTAAATAGCATGGCCATGCGACTCAAGGATAATACGTCAACGCGATACAAGCAGTATGGAACCATGACCTACAACGGGCTAATACCTGCACGGGAAGTCGTCAACTCAATTTGCTCCTTTGTTACACAGGATGACGACGCACTTCTTGCTTCGCTTACTGTACGCGAGACTCTGCGTTATGCAGCTGGGTTGCGTTTACCAAAATGGATGTCTAAGGAGCAGAAGATACAAAAGGCCGAAGAGATTCTCCTAAAGATGGGTCTCAAGGACTGCGCTGACAACCTCATTGGTAACGATCTCGTCAAGGGTGTCAGTGGTGGTGAGAAGCGTCGAGTTACGATTGCTGTGCAGATTCTCACGGAGCCACGGGTGCTTTTGCTTGATGAGCCCTTATCTGGACTCGATGCTTTCACGGCTCTCTCCATTATGGACGTCCTCCGCGGATTAGCACAAGAAGGCCGCACGCTCATAGTGACGATTCATCAACCACGCAGCGACCTGTTCAGTCACTTTGGAAATGTTCTTCTCTTAGCTCGCGGTGGACATCCAATCTACACAGGGCACTCAACCGACATGTTACCTCACTTTGCAGGCTTAGGCTATGAATGTCCAGAGCACGTCAATCCCGCTGATTTCGCGCTCGACCTGATAACAGTCGACCTCCAGCACGAAGCGCGTGAGGCCGCCAGTAGGAAGAAAGTGCGCAAGCTCATCCAGTCATGGAATCCTGATGCCTTTCCCCTTGCTCGTACTGGCTCGATTACAACACCTGCGGAACTGGGAAGCATGGCACGAGAGCCTTCGTCATTCTTTTCAGCGTACTCAATCTTGATCCGACGGTCAACGAAGAATATGTTTCGCCAGCCAGACATTATCATCGCGCGAATCATGCAAATTTTCGGTCTGGGTATCGTGCTTGCGCTCTATTTCTCTCCGCTTAAGACCAATTACTACTATGTGCAAAACAGACTTGGATTCCTGGTCGAAATCGCGCCACTCTACTTCGTCGGCAGTAAGTGCCTCTCTACGCAATAACCTTGAGCTGTGCTAATGCCATGCAGTGCTGAACAATATTGCCGTCTATCCAACTGAGAGAGACGTGTTCTATCGAGACTACGATGACCGTGTCTACGGCGTGGAAGCATTTTTCCTTACATACATCACCACCACGACGCCCTTTGAAATCATCGGCTGCCTTATGTTCTCGGTCCTCGCCGTGTTCGCCGTCGGTCTAGAACGCAATGCTGAAACATACTTCATCATAACCTTCAACGCGTTTTGTATTACCAGCTGCGGAGAGAGTCTGGGCATTGCATTCAACACATTGTTTACGCATACTGGATTCTCGGTCAACTGCATGTCTGTTTTCCTCAGCGTTGCACAAGTCATGGGAGGCGTTCTTTCGCTCGACATCCCTGACTTCCTGCAAGCCTGGAACCACCTCTCGCCTGTAAAGTGGGCTGTCGGCAACATGGCACCGTTTACTCTGCGCGGCCTGCAGTTTACTTGTGAAGATTGGCAGCGCGTCAACGGACAGTGTCCTATTCAGACCGGAGAACAAGTACTTGACTTGTACAGGCTGAACAAGAACCCGAAGATGAACCTCATGGCGCTAGGTATCTGCGCAATCGTGTATCGCTTCCTTGCATATGTTGTGCTGAAGATGGTCAAGGAAAGGTGGATAGGCAAACTGTGGAGGAAGATGGGCGGCGGTAAGAAGAAGTATACAGCTGAGATTACGCGTGAGGTAAACACACCAGCATAAAGTGGCATATGTCCGAGAAGAAGATTGTAAATATTCAAGCTATTCCAATTGCATCTACCTTGGTACAGCTGACCAAAACGAAAGTAAATTTCCAAGCTTTCAATATGAATTTATAATAATGTAACCCCAGCCCTCAGGTAACCATAATATACACAAAGATACTATCCGCGTACAAGCAAAAAGAGATGACACCACAGTAAACCCCAATCGCCTCGAACATAAACAAGAACCCACGCTAAACACCCCTACCCTGCACGTGTGTAATACCGTGATTAGACCCTATGACCCCACAGATGCAGCGAATTTCCTCCAACCCTATTCCTCGTATTATCCCAGCCGGCATCCTTCAGCGTCAGCACCTTGGACACAGCATCATTATACCTAAACGTCTGGCCTTTTTCCCACAGCCCATTCCCCAGCTCAATGCACTCAGTAATAGCCGTGCCCTCGAGCTCCTCCTCGGGAACCCCATCATGACAAATCTGAATGAGGCGATTTAGCCCAGTCGTACTAGCCGCCGCCAGCTGCTCAATCCCAAACGACGCACCAGGCGACAACCACGGACAAACGTTGCCCGTGATGCGCATGAAAATCGTATGCTCGGCGGACTCAACGAGCATGACTCCCGGAGGAATCCCACCGGCAATCTGTGATACATCTGCCTGTGCGGGCTGCGCGTGATGCCCGTTATTTCCATCGTGGAAGAGCGGCGCGGGACGATGATGCTGTGTCGCAGCTCCCCCAGCACCCATTACGTTCATCAGCGGAGGTACTACTACTGCGACGCCTGCAGCAGGAACGTTTCCAAACGCCAACCCGGCGGCGGTGGGATTCCAAAGAGGCGCGGGCGCGGCAAAAGGTTGCAGCACGCCTGCCATGGCGCTGGGTGGCGGGGGCGGAAAAGCTACGCCTGTGGCGTGCAGACCGAAACCTATGCCGTACTGAGCGTTGGGAAGGAAGTTGCCGGTTCGAATGGGGGCGAGGGGGCCGCCGCCTAGGAGGAAGGGATCCATGAGGCCCAGGGGATGAGGGAGGACGGGCGGAAACGCACCTATGCCTATGGGTAAGGGGGGCCCGTAGATGGGGTTATGGTGGTGTTGTTGCTCGACGACGACTTGGGCTGGTCCTGCCGCCACCGCTGGTGCGCTGGGAGCGGCTGCAGGTACAGGTGCAAGAGGGGCCTGGGGGATGGGACCCCCAAAGCCGTGAATCGGGGGTGGTGGGGGGTCGCGATTGATGTTGGGGTTGTTGCCGACGTTGACAGGCCAGGGGTGGCCTGGTGGAGGGCCAGCTGACATTGAACGATGAGACGGGACTAGGGGTCTAGTCGATAAGTCTGATGCTTAGAGTAACGTCTTGGTGAGACGGGCTAGAATGGTATTTGCCTATGCTGTGGTTTGGAAGCAGAGAATTATGCCTTCTGACCTGCTGAGTGCAAGGACAAAATGGAGAAAGTGAGGAAGGAGCATGGTGTCTTTTCTATTGATAAATATATGTCAGCGCTGAGTGTACGTTGGTGGTAGCTGCGATATGTGAAGATGGAGGTGACGATTTTTGCGAACACCCTGCAATTCACATGGCATCGTTATTTTTGAATGCGGATCGTCGATGGTAAGGGCTAGTAGTGTGTTGTATAAAAAAAGCATGTTTGGAAAACGAACACGTCCATGCGCTGGCACTGGGTGCCACCTATGAAGCAAACGGCCTTAGAACCGCTAGCATTTCTTAACTATAGTGTATGACATGGATGGTCGATGCGCAGGCTAGAGTAGCACTTTACAGTTTATGCGAGTAGCTCATGTGACCGTGTGTAACGCACGGTAAGGTTAGACTAAAAACCTGTCAGTAATGGAAACTATACATGCGGGCTAGAACGTTTGGCAAAAAATCACTCATAGAAAAGGATCATGCACTGTCATCCAGTCTGACTGAAAGAACAATATCGTGATAAGGGTTGAATTGAAGTAAGGGTATAGATGTATACACATCGAAATGGTATGCAACAGAGGTATATACAGTGAAGTGAAATCGAACTTCTAGTTCGAAACAAGACCAACTGGGAAAAAAAGTACCCGGGTCATCGTAGCGCTCGCTCAATGGCGTGTCGCGTGTCATTCAGCACACTTAGAAGGTGGCGACCTTAGGGCCGGGAACAACGTAGCTCTTGAAGTTGCTGTAGATGTTGGCAGTGTAGCCAGAGTCGGTGGACTTGACGTGTCCGGGGATCTTGGTGGTAGGAGAGGGGTTGCCGCTGCCGCCACCAGTGACCTTGATTTGTGCACAAGAGATGTAGAATTGTGGTGGGCTGCCGGGGTTGTGGATACCGAGCTGCTCGATACGGAGGAGGTACTCTCCAGCGGAGACCTGGGAGGGGATGGTGACGGAGTAGGTGGCTGTAATTATGTCAAAAAGGGGTTCCGAGAAGATGTAGATGCACATTTCACTTACTGCTCATGTCCCACACGGCCTGTCCACTGGAGAAGTTTGGACCAATTTCCTTGATCTTGAACCAGTCACCGGAACCATCTGAAGAGGCAGCAGAGCTGGCCTTGCTCATGTAGAAGGAAACTGGTCCTTGGTGGTAGACAGCCTGGTCGGCAGTGAAGCTGACGGTCGAGCCAGCAGCAACCGCCACAGTGGTGGTTCCACTGCCACTGTTTCCGTTGGTGTTGCAGCGGAGGTTCTTGTCTGACAGGTCGGTGACAGGGCTGTTGTTGGGGACAGGCCTGATGTTCTGGAACAGACCTCCCTTGGCGCCGTTGGCAGTCAGGGTCTGGAAGATGTCTTTGGGTCTATTAGCAGATGTCTCATCCTACACAGCAGTGTATCGTACAGTGAGCCTGGGCGACCTCAGTGAGAGCCGCGAGGGCTACAGTGGCAACGGCGAAGCACTTCATGATTAAAGTTGGAGAATGAGAGTTTGGTGGAGTAGGTAATGAATGGACTGAATGTGCTGATGATATTGGATGAGAATACAAGGCGAAGATGCACTGATCTTATATACAATTCTTCACCCACCAAAGGGCTTTGTATCCTATATTGCGCGATTCCGCACATTTCCAGGCCAGTACAACCTTCAGGCTTGATTGGGCCAACGGTGAAACTCGAAATGAAAGCGCGTCACAGGACTTCCACAATAGGCTTCTCCGTACTGGTAGCGAGGCCGGGACATGAGGCAAACTGTGGATACTCATTGCCGGTGGCGGTTAGCCGAGACGCCTTCAAGAGACGACCTGGTGACACAAGATCAGGGACACCGTGTGACCTCACAGAAAGCAATATTGCGAATATAGTACTTAGTAATCTATGATGAACAGCCTATGGACATGAACGTGTCAGAAGAGATAACTGAGCGAATAGGAATGGACAACCTTGTAAACAGTAGTGGGTCTGTGGAGTTGGCAAAACCGGATTGGCGCCCATGTGGAACTGAACAATGCCAAATGTTCAAGATATATTAATATGTGGGTTAATATGTTTAGATTGTCATGGATCCAGCTAAGGCGGACCTGTCGAACCGGTCGAAGGAAAAAGGAAACAACACCGTTTTCTGAATCGCCCAGCCTTGCGTTTGGAGTCGTGTGCATACTACGCCATCATGTGTAGTTGGTGGCAGAGTGTTTGAGAACGCATCCTGTGCACGGATGCCGAGTCAGTGACGGCTTGGTGTGTCCGGAGTTTTCATCATAGAACCTGACACCAGACGATGCAGAGAGGTATCGTAGAGTTACATCAGATATGAAGATAATCCAGGTGACTCCGCGCCGTTTTTGTTCTTTACAGAAATACTTCGAACTCCATGAAGGCATGCCGACTGTGATTGTCGTTTTGGCGATCGACCCGGTTCCAGTTTTTTTGGTGTTTCAGGGCACTGGTTGTGGACGTTCTAGAAATTAGGAAGGAAAATCGAGATCTGCAACGGCTGGACGCCTGTCGCACGCCACTGAGGGATACATACATAGTCGTGCATGCCCGCAGCGCGTTCAAAGGGACGGCTCTGAACACTGATGATTTCAGACAGTCCGCAACGCACAACACTGCCCAGTCGACATTCGGTGCATTTCAGTCGTACATACAAGATGTGGTCCGAGTCCTTGTCTTGGTTATTGGAAGCGTGACATCGAGGCTGCTAAAAGAGGAGTGTGGAAAACAACGAGTTATTCCTACCCACGAGAGGTATCTTTGGCAGACGCACTGTCGCAGACGGCACTGTGTTGTCGTAAGTAGAGGCTCAGAGTCGGTAGATACGGATAGCGATGGCACATGGCGAATGGTTGAGAGGCAATGTGATCCAATCCTCGGAAAGGACAGGCAGGAGCGGGGTAGAGAGTGCACGTGATTCGTCATTTCTCGCCTCGACATTCAGACGTCTACTACCAATGTGGCAAGTCCTCGCCACGGTCTGCAGAGCACAGATAGGGAACCCGCTTGCTTATCACCCAAAAACGGTGTGCTAGGTAAAAACGTATTTACCGCTCGCAGTAGCATAATTCCTTTCTCAAAACTTACCTCCATCCTTCAGCTCTGAAATCTTGGAAACTGAAATCGTGTTTGCGCTACGATATATTCAATCAATATGTCTGGAGAACACGCCACCACTACGGCGCCTTGGCACCCTCTTGCTCCGTTGACCGCAGCAGAACTTCAGAAGGCCGCGGGGATCATCAAGGCATCCTGGCCGGCGCATACGGACTTGCACTTTAAGGTCGTTACATTGGAAGAGCCGCCGAAGACCGAAGTTCTAAAGTACCTGGAGGCTGAGCACGCTGGCAAGCCATTACCGTCTATTCCGAGAAAGGCATTTGTCAACTACTACATCCGCAATACCGTATGTCGCGCATCGTCCGTGCTTTGCAGCATTAGGTATATGTGGCTAACTATTAATCAAAGAGTAAATTCCACGAGGCGATTATCGATTTGACATCGGGCCGGATCGAGCGCAGTCTTCTCCTAGGACCCTTCATTCATGCAAACGGAGATGGCGACGAGATCATTGCCATTGAAAAAGTTGCACTTGCAGACGAGAAAGTGCAAGCCGAAATTGCCAAGCTCGAACTCCCAGAAGGCACAGTGGTTATCAGCGATCCCTGGATATACGGTTCCGATGGCATTGGCGACGAAGACAGACTCTACCAATGCTTTCTCTATCTGAGGGACCCGACGAACTCGTCGGAGGCAGATTCAAATCACTATGCTATGCCGTTGCCGATTTCCCCCGTGGTTAGCACGGAGACGATGACGGTCATTCGCGTCGACTTGCTGCCTACCGGCGCAGACAACACTATCAAGCCGGTGGGCAAGTACAAAATACAACCACCCAATGAGTACATTCCGGAGGCGCAAAAGCTGCGAACGGATCTCAAGCCCCTGAATGTAATCCAGCCTGAAGGCGCTAGTTTTCAGGTTCAACAACAGGGAACATCGAGCGTCATCTCATGGCAGAAGTGGCAGTTCAGGGTCGGCTTCAACCAGCGTGAGGGTATGGTGCTGTATGATGTTCGATACGACAACCGTAGCCTCTTCTACAGGCTTAGTCTGAGTGACATGAACATTCCATATGCAGACCCCCGCCACCCATATCATAAAAAGAGCGCTTTCGACTTGGGCGATGCTGGCGCTGGCATCATGGCGAACAATCTGAAACTTGGTTGTGATTGCCTGGGCTCGATTTATTACCTGAGCTCTGTCTTGTCAGACGACAAGGGCGGTGTCATTGATATGCCGAATGTAGTATGCATCCACGAGCAAGATGCAGGAATTGGTTTCAAGCACACCAACTACCGCACCGGCCGCGCAGTCGTCGCTCGAAGCCGAGAGCTGGTACTCCAGAGCATCATTACCGTAAGCAATTACGAGTACATTCTTGCCTTCATCTTCAATCAGGCTGGAGAGATCAGTTACGAGATCAGAGCAACTGGTATTCTTAGCACACAGCCTATTGATGAGGGCGTCGAGGTACCATTCGGTACCGTTGTGCACCCTGGCGTGCTTGCGGTCCACCACCAGCATATCTTCTCATTGCGTGTCGACCCTATGATTGACGGTTACGATAACCGGTTGGTATACGACGAAGCCTTTCCTATGCCCCGATCAGACTTCAACCCCCACGGGACAGGTTACTACGTCCAGGAGACAGTTGTCGAGAAATCTGGCGGTTACGACATTGTCTACGAGAACAACCGCACCTTCAAGATCCAGAACCCGAATGTGCGAAACCCGGTCAATGGAAAGGCAGTTGCATACAAGATCCAGGCGCCTCCATTCCAGAAAATACTGTCGGATAAGGACAGCTTCAACTACAAGCGTGCCGAGTTTTCCGATCACAATATTTACGTCGTCAAGCACAAGGACGGTGAGCTGTACGCTGGCGGCACATACACCAACCAATCAAGAGGAGGAACTGGTGTGCGGTCGTGGGCAGAGAGGAATGACAACGTCAAGGATACCGACTTGGTGGTATATATTCAAGCGGGCATTAACCACGTACCCAGGATCGAAGACTTTCCTGTTATGCCGTGTGAAATTCTGAAGATTCACCTGAAGCCAGTCAACTTTTTCGACAAGAATCCGGCGCTGGATGTGCCACCAAGCGAGCAGGCGTTCAACAAGAGCAGCTTGTTGAGCGAGCAGCACCAGCAGCCGAGCGTGACTGCGACAGTGGGCAAGGACGGCCAATGCTGCGCACCACAGAGTGCGAAGTTATAGGATACTTAGGATATTAGATAGCAAAAGAGCCTCTTGTGAAAATTGGGCCAAGATTGTAAAAAGCACTGCCATATAAAATTTGATATTACTAGAAATGATGCAAGTTGCTTAGGCCGCGTGAATGTTGGCAAGGGTTGGTGAGAGGAGCAGTGCTGGATCGCGTGGCCGCGGTTCGACGCGCCAAGCCCCGAGCCTAGTTCCGTAGCTCGAAGGCCATGGGTGATCAAAGAAACGTCAACTATCTTTGTCCTCCAAGCATCTACACACCTACTCCGCGCCCACGTTTACGCACTCTCATACCCCGCATTCTATACCTGGTGACCGCATCCAAGGCATTATGGCGCCCAACGACAAGGCGGGTCGAGTGGTTTTCATAGGAAATATTCCATATGGTATGGGACACTGCGGTTTCAACGCGCAGGCGCGCTGCTAACATGGTCAACTAGGTGGAACTGAAGAACTTATTGTTGAAACCCTCGGTCGCGTCGGACAAGTTAACAACTTTCGGCTGGTATATGACAAGGAAACGGGACGACCCAAGGGCTTCGGCTTCGCAGAGTTCGCCGACGCGGACGCAGCAGCTTCGGCGGTGCGCAACCTCAATGACTACGATCTGATGGGGCGCAAACTGAGGGTCGACTGGTCCAATGAAAGTGGCTCTGGCGATAACGCGCCCTCGAGCCGCGACCCGAACACGCAGGCACCCATGGGCATGAACGGCCAGCCAGCTGCAGTACCTCCCCCAGTGCAGCCATCGAGCACACTGGGCCCTCTGCCGCCAGGTGTTGAGTTACCACCCAATCTCACATGCCCAGACGCTATTTCGCGCACGCTATCTACACTTCCCCCGGACCAGCTGCTCGACATTCTCTCACAAATGAAGGGGCTTGTTATGACGGACCCAGCCAAGGCGACGGAGCTACTGCGACAGGCACCGCAGCTAGCGTATGCCATTTTCCAGTCGCTCCTGCTCCTGCAGCTAGTTGATCCGCAGATTCTCACGTCGCTCGTGGAGACATCGGCGGCTCCCGCCCCAGTGGCGCAGGCGCCGCCTGTTCAGCCAGTGCAGCAAGCTCCACCACAAGTAGCGCGACCGCCTGTGAACTATGGTGGATATCAGGCCCAGGTTGCGCCCACACCTCCACAACCCCAAGCGCCTGCTCCGCAGCCCTACGCGCAAGCTCCACAGCCAGCTCCGCAGGCACAACCAGCGGCCCTGGACCAGCAAGCGTTGTATGCGCAGGTCATGG